CGTACGTTCACTTTTAGTATGGTTTCCACGCAATCCTTTATAAATGAGACCCCTGGACTTTTCTGTGTCGTTAAAGTTTGAGAGTCTCTGGTTTACCTTGAAAATCTGTGGAATAAAAAGATTAAAAAGATTAAAAATAATCTTATGTTTTTCTTAATCTTAAGATGATCCAATATTAAATTTATGACACAAAGATTTGTCCTCTGATCCTCTGCATCAGATGCATCCATTCCAGCCGTGGAACCAGTTGATTTCAAACAGAACCAGTCTGAGCCCAGTTTAGAGCTGCGTCAGTTCCAACATGAACATGTGTAAGATGGGAAAGTGTCTGCCTTCTTCTAAAGACTGATTTCTGTCTGTTTAGCGAACGTCGTATGAGTGGTACATTCCAAAAGGCATCCTGAAAACAAGCTGGATGAACAAACACCTGAACCTGGTCCCTGCTCTGGTGGTTCTGTTCTACGAGCTGGACTGGGACGACCCGCAGTGGAAGGAGAAACAGTCAGAGTGTGCAACTAAGGTGGAGATAGTCAGGTATGCCTGCTGCTCCCTGTCAGTGTTAAACAGGTCTGCTGTCAGCTTCATCAACACTTTGTTCTGTTAGGACCAGTCTGCAGGGCAGGAACACCAAGGTGGCTGTGGTTCTGATCCAGAAGAAAACCCCTCTGCCTCCAGGTAAACTCTTGACCTTTCACTTCTTCTGAACATGCACAGGATGTCTGCACGTCTCCCAGCCTCTGAGACAAGTTGCTGAAGCTTTCAGAATCACAGCTGTCAGCACTGTAGTGTTGGTCCTGCACATTATTATTCATTTAAAGCTTGTTGCTCAGTGTGTACGAAACTAAGAGCACTGTCAAACCTGTCAGAGCACAAAACAAGCAAATACCACCACACCAGGGGGAGGGGCTTCAGTCTGACATATGTCCATCCTGTCTGTCGTGTGCTTCCTGTCCATCATGTGAATCATGTCCTTTATGTCCTTTATGTCCATCCTTTCCATCATGTGAATCATGTCCTTTATGTCATCCTGTCCATCATGTGAATCATGTCCTTTATGTCCATCCTGTCCATCATGTGAATCATGTCCTTCATGTCCTTTATGTCCATCATGTGAATCATGACCTTTATGTCCATCCTGTCCATCATGTGAATCATGACCTTTATGTCCTGTATGTCCATCATGCCCTTTATTTCCTTTATTTCCATCATGTGAATAATGTCCTTTATGTCCTGCATGTCCATCCTGCTCATCCTGTCCATCATGTCCTTTATGTCCATCATGTGAATCATGTCCTTTATGTCCATCATGTCCTTTATGTCCATCCTGCTCATCCTGTCCATCCTGTCCTTTATGTCCATCCTATTCATCCTGTCCATCATGTCCTTCATGTCCATCATGTGAATCATGTCCTTTATGTCCATCATGTTCTTTATGTCCTTTATGTCCATCCTTCTCATCCTGTCCATCCTGTCCTATATGTCCATCCTATTCATCATGTGAATCATGTCCTTTATGTCTATCATGTCCATCATGTCCTTTATTTCCTTTATTTCCATCATGTGAATCATGTCCTTTATGTCCTTTATTTCTATCATGTCCTTTATGTCCATCCTGCTCATCCTGTCCATCCTGTCCTTTATGTCCATCCTATTCATCATGTGAATCATGTCCTTTATGTCCATCCTGTCAATCTTGTGAATCATGTCCTTTATGTCCATCCTGCTTATCCTGTCCATCCTGTCCTTTATGTCCATTCTATTCATCATGTGAATCATGTCCTTTTTGTCTATCATGTGAATCATGTCCTTTATGTCCTTTATGTCCATCCTGTCCATCATGTGAATCATGTCCTTTATGTCATCCTGTCCATCATGTGAATCATGTCCTTTATGTCCATCATGTCCTTTATGTCCATCATGTCCTTTATGTCTATCCTATTCATCATGTCCTTTATGTCCATCCTGTCCATTCTATTCATCATGTCCTTTATGTCCATCATGTGAATCATGTCCTTTATGTCCATCATGTGAATCATGTCCTTTATGTCCATCCTGTCCATCATGTGAATCATGTCCTGAGTGTTTCATAAAACACAGTAGGAACAGAGAAGTTTGAGCTGTTACTGATAAAGAAGACAGGTGATCTTCAGGTTTATAACTTAGTTTCATTTGTTATATTTCAGTTTGTATTTTATTAAATAATGTCTGTAACCTGGTATTATGTCAGTTTTAATCAGCCAGTTGAGAAAAGGACAAACAGCCTTTATTACAAATAAACAGATGGAATAAAACTGATGTTGTTAACTCATTTATAATTCAGTGTTTTATATTATGTGATGGACTTGCGACCTGTTGTGATGGACTTGCGACCTGTCAAGGGTGTACCCCGCCCCTCGCACTGTGACTGCTGGATATGGGCACCAGTGACCCACGCGACCCTGAAAAGGAAGAAGCGTGTACAGAAAATGGATGGATGGATGGATGGATGGATGTTTTATATTATAAATCCAGTCAATCTGTTCATCATTTTGCCAGTTTATCCTACTTTCTGTCTTTAAGGATGTACTTACTAACAGACAGGCTTTAGTTGGGTTTTGAAGGAGGGCATCAACATTTTAAAGCAGTGTGGTGATGGCTACCCCACTAATTCCAGGTTTATTCACATAAATACCTTTCAATTCCCATGGAAAACTTGAAAAAATACCTAGAGTTTTGATCTTGTAGTACTGCGTGTGGAATACTGAGACAGAATATTTAATAATGGGAGAACTGAAGTAATTAAAGTGTGTCTGAGGACTCTCTATAACTCTGCCTGGTCCTGATGTGTGTACAGGAGAAGACCTGGTGGCTTCAGAGAGAGCGTCGGCTCTCTGTAACGCTTGTGATCTCTCTGGGAAGAGCCTGTTTGTTTTGCCACACACCGACCACTTGGTGGGCTACATCATAAGGTACACGCCCACCCAGCTGCAGGGGGGCGGGGCTCTGAGGTCATCAAGCTTCTGTGCACGCCTCTCTCATGTGTTTCCTGTCATGTTTAGGTTGGAGAACGCGTTCTACGAACACGCCCAGACCTACTACTACACAGAGATCCGTCGAGTCAAGTCACACAAAGAGTTCCTGAACAAGACAACACACCAGGTTTGAACACATGGATGTGGTTTCTCCTGATGAATGAGTGAACAAACCAGAGGTAACATACCTCACCACAGGAAAACCAGACCGAGAACCAGCAAGTACTGGTCAGCCCGAGCAGGCCCAAACAGTACCAGGTTGTGTTGTGTGTATGTGAAGGTACTGTGTAGGGGTGTATGGAAAATATCGATACACCGATATATATCGATATTTAATTTCCCGATACTGTATCGATTTTCTAAAGCCCTGTATCAATTTTTAATTAAGGTTTAAAATGTCAACTTTCCTGCCAACGGTTCATTTTATGTTGTAGTTCAGCCTCTGACTGCTAGTTGGCAGCAGTGAGCCAGCCATTTGACTCCTAAGGAGTCAGAGAGTAACAGTAGCATTAGCTTCATGCTCCAATAGCTGAATCTGAGCAGAAAAGATCGACACCCTTTGCCTTCTAACCTGATAAGGTTACCAACAGTCCCTTATTAGTCAGAACGTCTGTATTTAAAGACAAATTGAAGTATCTTGTGCTCTCTTTTCTGATTGTAGTCAGCCGTCACGTTACAGAGGCAGGCATGCGTCTAGCGCCTCGAGCTTAAGGGGTGTTGTGCGAATTCTGTCCCCCCGTGTCTGGAGGGCACACTGCAGCCAGAGATGCAGATCCGACCATTTTCACAGCGTTTCTGATTAATTTCTCGTTAAAAGGACTCACATAATCTTGTCAAGGTAGCTTTCAGTTTAATCATCAGCTGCTGTTAAAAAAACTCTAAAATGAATAAATAAATAAAACCTGACCTTTTTTAAAATCACAGAATGAGTCCTTATCAGTCCTTTTCCAAATTTTCTCATGTTGTCTTTAGCCTCACTTTTTATCGGTCAGACACCAAACACTGTCTTCCAACACAGTGTGTATTTATAATTATTTTATTGCTGATACAAGAACCAAATATTTCAGTTGTTTAAAATAATCTGTTCTCCCTCTGTAACATGGGAACAAAATAATTTACCTCCAAGTCTTTAACTGTGTTAGTTACTCTCATCATAAACAACAAATCCTGAAGATTTGGGAAAATTTGCTCTTTATTTGCCAAAGTTACCTGGATGGAACCAAATATTATTTAGGCTTGTAAGCTACAGTTTGCACTGTTGCAATTAAAGGAAACTAATTTTCTCACTGCATCTTTCATTAATTTTGTCCAGCTGTAGACAGTAACTCTCTGTCCTATCAGATAAGGTATTGTGTAGTTGGTGCTTTTAATCAGTTTTCAGTTCAATTAATTCAATCAAAGTCTATGGAACAGTCACAAAATGTCACCAAAATCACTTTGTCCCTCTAAAATAGTTCAGAAAATCGAATCATATCGTTCGCTGAATATCGTGAAATATATCGTATCATGAGCAGAATATCAAATATTGTATCATATCGTGAGATTACTGTATCGCTACGGCCCTAGTACTGTGTTTTATAAAACTCTGTTGTTTTGTGTGTCTTCTGCAGCTGCTGTTTGTCAGACACCAGTTTAAAATTGCTTTCTTCAGCGAGCTGAAACAGGACACCCAGAACGCCCTGAAGTGAGTCTGAAAACTGTGATTGAAACAGAATCACTTTACTTTAAATCTTCTGTAGCAGAGACCACACTTGTGTCTAAAATCATTAAAAATGAAGCGTCAGGTAGGGTTGGGCGATATTGGCAAAAAGAAAAATCATCACAATTTAAACATAGCATTTATCCGATAACGATTATTAACCCCCTGAAGTCTCTGGACGAGCCGGCATGTCGTGATCACGACGCCTTCTCTGAGAATCTAGAGTTGAGACTTCAAACATACACCAGGTTTTACATTGAGTTGAAAGGCCAGTTAAACCAGAGTTATGATAAATAATTTACAGCACGGTTATGTGTTCGTCATAAGCACTTTGAAGCAGAATGTAGTGAAAGATGGTCAGATTCATGGAACAAAATAAAACTCTAGTTCACCCTTTGGTCTGACCCCAACCCTGCTGAACAAACATGAAACTCCTGACCTCCTTTCTGACTGATGCCTGGAATTACTGGACAAGTGCCAAAACATCTACAGGAAGAAGAAAATAAAAAGAAGATACTTGAATGAAGTTTGGTGGGGATAGAAGCACAGCGAGAGTGGAGCTTTGAGAGGTTTATGATATTTAGAGTGTTTGGATTTTATAGTTCAGATGTAGTTTAAATCAAAGCAATGAGGCGAGTTTTGAACGTGGATCTGCAGCTGACTGAGCTGGAGACAGATGAGAGAAGAAGAGGGAAGCTCAGAGATAGAGATGGAGAAAAAAGTTTGAAACAGAGTGAGGACTTTTAACGAGGAAGTAAGTGATCCATTATTTTGTTTAGAAGAGGAAAGAGGGGAGGATTTGATTTGATTTATTTATTTAACAGGAAAAGAATCAARCCTGACTCAGCATAATTGCTGTTTTACAGCAGGTTCCTGTTCTGCAGCACATAAAACACTCAGAATTACAGCATCACAATCACATCATTATAAACCATAGACACAAAGACAAACAAGCAGACCAAATTTCAGGAA